CCGTCGTCGTAGCAACCGCGACCGATCGACGATTCCTCGCTCGTCTCTACTGAAGTTCGTCTCGCGTCACGTCGGACACTGACGCGCGCGCGCGAAGAGAGAGAGAGAAAGGGAGAGCGTTGTCGTTTCGCATAACTTTGACGACCTCAGAGCAGGCAGATCACCCGCTGAATTTAAGCATATTATTAAGCGGAGGAAAAGAAACTAACTAGGATTTCCTTAGTAGCGGCGAGCGAACAGGAAAGAGCCCAGCGCTAAATCTTGCGGTTCCGCCCCAGGGAAATGTGGTGTTTGGGAGGGTCCGTTTATCCCGAAGTGCCGCGTCGCGTCCAAGTCCATCTTGAATGGGGCCACTTACCCGCAGAGGGTGCCAGGCCCGTAGCGACCGGTACGCGTCTCGGGAGGATCTCTCCTTAGAGTCGGGTTGCTTGAGAGTGCAGCTCTAAGTGGGTGGTAAACTCTATCTAAGGCTAAATACAACCACGAGACCGATAGCGAACAAGTACCGTGAGGGAAAGTTGAAAAGAACTTTGAAGAGAGAGTACGTGAAACCATTCAGGGGTAAACCTAAGAAACCCAAAACATCGAACGGGGAGATTCATCGTCAGCGACGCTGGCTTCGCGTCGGTGGGCGATGTCCCGCGGGGCCTCGCGGCTCGCGCGCGGACACGCTGCCGTTGCGTCGATGTCCGGCGTTATGCCGTCGTGCACTTCTCCCCTAGTAGAACGTCGCGACCCGCTGGGTGTTGGTCTACGGCCCGGGAGCAGTAAAACGGCGCGCGTCAAACCCCCGGCCGACTGCCCGGCGGTACACGCAAGGTATCAGGCCGCAGCTCTCTGTCGCGCCGCGAGTCTCTCCGTTATCTCGGGAGCGAGAGGGACGCGTGCGCGCGCGCGAGTGTGCGTCGAGGCCGTCGCAAGCGCGCGCCACGGTACACGGACGTTCACGGACCTAGCGCCGTCGCCGTGCCTGGCCCACTGTTGGTCGTGCGGTAAATATCTTAACCTTCGACAGGCCTGCAAAACGTTCGCCGCGCGCGCGCCTCTTCGCGGGGGTCACGCGTGGCTACGGATACCGGTCGGTGACGCTACTGCTTTGGGTACTCTTAGGACTCGTCTTGAAACACGGACCAAGGAGTCTAACATGTACGCGAGTCATTGGGACTCAGCGGATACCTAAAGACGCAATGAAAGTGAAGGTCGGCCCTGGTTGTCGACCAAGGGAGGATGGGCCGCGTCGCGATGCGGCTCCGCACTCCCGGGGCGTCTCGTTCTCATCGCGAGAAGAGGCGCACCCAGAGCGTACACGTTGGGACCCGAAAGATGGTGAACTATGCCTGGTCAGGACGAAGTCAGGGGAAACCCTGATGGAGGTCCGTAGCGATTCAGACGTGCAAATCGATCGTCGGAACTGGGTATAGGGGCGAAAGACTAATCGAACCATCTAGTAGCTGCTTCCCTCCGAAGTTTCCCTCAGGATAGCTGGCACTCGGCCGTTCCGCACGGAACGCGCGCGAGTCTCATCTGGTAAAGCGAATGATTAGAGGCCTTGGGGCCGAAACGACCTCAACCTATTCTCAAACTTTAAATGGGTGAGATCTCTGGCTTTCTTGAACTATGAAGCCACGAGAATCTCTCTATCGGATCAAGATCGGAAGAGCACACGTCTGAACTCCAGTCACTTAGGCATCTCGTATGCCGTCTTCTGCTTGA